TTAAGTAATAAGATTTTTTTTAAATACTACCAGTATATTAGAGTATTTATAAAAAGTTTCAATACAATAACAAATTTTCTTTTCTTTATTATAAAGTTGATAATAAAATAAATAAAAATGAAAAAAAAGAAATTTTCTTCAATGATGGGATTCTAAAAGTATTTCGAATAGTGATACTTTACAAAATCCCTTGGTGAGAAGATTTCTTTTAATACTATCAGTGTATTGAAATATTTATAAAAAATCTTCAATATGATAAAAATTTCTCTTTTTTCAAAAATTAAATAATAATTCAATAAAAAAACCAATAAAGTTTTTAAAAATAAAAATAAAATATATGCATCAATATATTATCATTTACATTGCATGTGTGAAATATTTTTTGCAAAAAGTGAATCTGAGCCTCTGAGGATGAGATTTTAAAGTATTTCGAGAAGCGATGCCTAAGAAATCTATATATGAGAAAAAGTTCTTTCAATGTTATCAATATACTAGAACATTTTAAGAATTATTTCAATAAAAAGATTCCAATTTATTTTTCTCGGAATAACAAAAGAAATAAATAATAAAATTTTAATAGAAAAAAGCCAATTTCACTAAGAAAAATCAAAAAAATTATTTTTCAAATACCGAAAATAAAACTATTTTTATTAAAATCAATGAATAACACATAATTAATTGATACAATTTTAAATGAGCACTGTAGGGGTGCTAATCTTTTTTCGCACAATCAACTATCGGATCTAGATTGTTTCGTAAACCCTAAAATTATATTTTTAATAAATTTTAATTAATTTTAAGATTTTATTTAAAGGATAAATTTTAATATGAGGCTAATTGCACCTAACTAAAAAAGATTGATTGCGACTTCATTTTCTGTTCTTTTAATTTCATCTCTAAATTCGTCAGACGGCTTCAAAATCGTTATGATAGTTACCTATCCAAATGAATCATTCTAGTGATGAGATTGGAGTTGTAATGATGAGAAAATAAATGTTTGGTAAAAATAATAATGATGTTAAGGTGAAAATAAAAATTGATTATTAAAGACTTTAATCTAAAAATTTATTAATAAATTATATATATTAACTTTATTGACATATATTATTTTATATTAAAATTCATCATATATTTAATAGTACTTTATTCAATTACTTGTTGATTTATTTATGTATTTATATAATTATGTACTTTTCATTCTTATGTTTGTATTTATGCATTTATAATGTTGTAGATAACTATTTATATACAATTAATTATGTGTAATTACTTTATGTAACTAATTATATGCATGAACATTTATTCATATTTTTATTATTAGGAGAAATTCAATAGCTCAAAATACTTAAAAGGTCTAATAAAAGAATTAATGTTAGGAATAACATAAAAACTATAATGAAATATTCAATATGATGCTTAAATTTTAAAAATATCTAATATAATGCTGAACTTAACCCTTATGTAGATAGTTCCAAATAATGATATGAATAAATAATTTCTCAAATACTACATCAATTAATAGTTTCATAATTCAATTCCATATAAAAAAATTCCAAAATTCACATATTATATTAAACATATTAAGAGTAGTTTAGCAACATTATTAACCCTAAAACAAAAAAAAGGTACAACATAATAGAAGCCATCTCGCTTGGCTACAAAAGTAAGATTAAGTTGAATCCAGTGCCTGCTGAAACTCGTTTCACCAAGTGTAACTTCAAGAAAATTCCTACTAATCCTACCATAGCCTCGCTCATTTCAAGTTTGATGGCCCCCACGATCTCGTTACTTTTTCTTTCATTTTTTATTGATGCAACGAATAATTCCATTGGTGATAATAATGTTGTCATTGATTTATCTTCCATGGATGAATGCATTTTAGTGATGAGAGATGATTTCCTCAAGAATTGGCTTAAGTTTGTTAACTAGAACACTGGCTGCAATTTTATAAGAGACATTGCAAATTAAGACTTAAAGGCTTATATATAGTGATTTAGATCTAGTTTCAAGGTAGTTAGTTTTTGGGTATAAGGGTGATAAATGTGTTGTTTAGTTCTTGAAGCAAAAAATGGGAATTGAGGAAGGCCAGGACTACCTCAATGGTTATAGGGCCAACGATGTCTCCATTATGTAGGTAAAAAATGTTTTGTTTTCTATCTACATCTGAGGCTTACCATTTTTGTCTCATTTATCCTAAATATTTTTTTATTATTATTACTACTACTATTTTCATTTTTCTTTCTTTCTCTTCTTTTCTGGTCCTTTTTGGCTAAAAGTTGCCATACATTAAATGCACCGAAAATATCACTGCTATAATCACTTAACACTCATGCCGAATTTGGTAGTGTGGATTTTGATTACCGAAAGTCTATTAAACTGGTTAAAAATATAAGATTTGAATCCCAGAAAGTTTTATAAATAAAGCTCATTTTCTGCAAGAAAAAGAATACACAAAAGAGAGGAAAAACCTGCTAGTATACCCAAAAAAAAATCAAAATTCTTTAAAAGGAAAAAAAAACCTAAAAACACAAAAATAAAAAACAGTCCCTCCGGTAAAGGAACCCAATGCCGGATTCAACAGAAATATCAAGATCCATAAAAAAAAGGTTCATTAAACCGAAGGGTTTTAAGATAGATTCAAAGAGATTATGAGGCTTTTGGTAAAAATAGGGGTTAAATTTGGAGAGAGGAAATTAAGGAGAGCATTTGGGTTTTTGCAATCATCGACATGGCGACCGATGACCACAAGTCGTGAAGGCATAGTGGTAGGCTTGGCTACATGGTGCCAGATTCTGACAATGGAAAAGGGCCTTAGGAGTTTTTTTTTTTAGCTAGGAAATTTTTTTTTTGCAAAAGGGAGGAAACATAATGAAAAAAAAGTAGCATTTTATAATAAATAGAATAACCAAAACAATGCCATTTGATAAGAGCAAAATGATGACATTTTGACCTTGAGGATCTATGCGTTTGAAGATGGTTCAGAGTTGGCATAAGTTGGTCTAGAGAAGGTGATCAATGCTAATTTCTACGAGAACCAAAGTAGGCCTCGAAGGAGGTTTGGGCGTATTGTTCAAGCTATTGAAGGGTCAAACTTGAACTTTTCCACTAGTATGCACCACCAGATCGTCGCGCAGATCAAACGAGTAAATAAACTATTAGAGGTTTACCTCAGGCACTATGTGAGCGCCATATAGCGGGATTGGCCTAAGCTACTTGATATCGCCTAGTTCTCATACAACTTACAGTGGAGTGAAGTAATGGACCAGAGCTCTTTTGAGATTGTGACAAGACAGCAGCCACTAACACTAGGTTTAATTATAACAGGTTACATAAGGCCAACCCAATAGTATATAAATTCGTTAAGGCTTGGTAGGAGCAAATCGACCTAGCTAGAGTTTGTCTACATAAAGCAGTAAAAAAGTCCAAGAAACGGGCAGGCCAAAAAAAGAAGGACATGTAGTTCCAAAGTGGAAGACTCAGTTTTGGTGAAGTTACACCCCATCATGCATAACAAAAATCTACATAAGGGCCTAGTCCAAAGGTACGAGAGACCTTTCAAAGTTTTTTAAAAGGGTAGACAAGGTTGCCTACAAGCCGGATATGCCACCAAAATTGAAAGTACATTCAATTTTTCATGTTAACATGCTTAAGCCATTCTATGAGGACCAAAAGGATCTAAGGTGGAAAAAGTCAAGGCATGCAACATTGAGAGCCAGAGCTTAATATGAGAAAGAAGTCCAATTCATTCTTATTGATCAGGTTGTGAGGCGACAGAGTTATAAACCAAGATAGGAGTACTTGGTGTAATGGAAAAGACTTTCAAATAGTGAAACAAGTTAGGAACCAGCTGAAGACCTATGGTAGTTCCAAAACCAAATCAGGCAGTTCCACATAGAAGATGCGATGAAGACATCGCAAAATCAGGTGAATGAGAATGTCATGCCTCGGACGGGTGCACCAGAAGCTAAGAACTACGCCTCAACGGCCAAGGCTCGAGCATTAGGGATAGAGGCAGATATTCATGCAATAATCATGGTAAAAGCATCAGAACTGCCCTTCTGACAATCAGTCCTACTTGTAGCACCAGGACCATGCCACACATGCTTGCACTATACCTAGGTGGGCCCAAGAAAGTGATACTGACCCAGAAGCATCTAAAAGCATCCAAGAATTGTAGCACACACCTAGAATAGAGGAAAACCTAATCAATCCTTAGAATTAAGGATGTAATTTGTATTTTTGAATTTAAAAATGTAATCTCTTGATATTAGGAACTATCATACCAGAGCTGGGGCTTTAACTATAAATAAAAAGCATTCCAGCATTCTCTTGTGTTCTTAAGCTTTCATATTCTGCCTTTTAGTGTTAGATTTGTGCCCGCACATTTATTTCGTAGGCTAACTTAGGCATATAGAGTCCATTCCTAGTTTAAGACCACATGGAGTTTGGCTTAAGACTGAAGCCTGTGATAGATGTCACAGTTCGTGGAAAGGACTAGGTCCAATGGTTTTCACTGGGATAGGGAACGATTTTAAGGCAATTGGGACCAAGTCAGAAAGCAAGGGAAACTAGACTTAAAGGCGCAATAGAGGTCTTAGGGGTAAGACCATGACCCAAAATAGATGCGCAGGCGTTGAAACGAGCTTAGAGAGTTCAGGCTAAGGGATTCGATTTGGTAGCTTTCAAACAAACCCAGGCGCGGGTGTAAGAGTAAACCCAAGCACAGGCAGAACCAAACTAGGCTCAAGCCAAGAGAAAGGCCCCACTGAGCACTACTGAAGAAGGACTCCAAACTGGTTCAAACGCTTTTCTAATAAAGTCCATATAAAATTAGAACTCTTTAATGTAATCCTATTGTAATATTTTATATATGTTGGACTCTTTGTAAGCCCTGAGATAGAAACTATGTCAGCCGTTGACTCAAGAGGGACTTGGCTATAAATAAGAGGTATCTCCATCCTCATTGTACATGCACCACAACTTGAGTAATACAAGTTTACTCTTGCTTATCTCTTTTGCTCTCTTTAGCTTTCCATCAAACAATTTGCGCAGCCTTATCTAGCAGCAGCTTAAGGTGGCTGGCCTTGGAGTTTCGAATGTGGATGCACTGATTCGGTTGAACATCGGATGAATTCATTTTTGGGTCTTGAAACCACGTGAGCTTAGAGCTTGAGTGTAGGTCGACTTGCAACATAATTTGACCAACAGAAAATATAGCATGCTGAAATACCTTATACCTTTGGCCAAAAAACAAAAAGAATTACGTTATACCTAACAGGAAATCTAAACGTTTATGTTTTTGTTTAGGGGTCTTTTCCTTTTGCATTGGTGCAACATCAACTCATCTTTGGCTTGCAATTCTTCTTAGAGAACAATCCTTTGATAGTTTTATAGTCCAGTCTGCAAAGAAAAATGAGAAGAACATTTTCTGCTTGAATTGTTGCATTACTATCTGCGCCCACTGCTTTCCTGTTCACCGTCCTCATTGTCGGGTACAGGTTCAGATTGCCAAAAATCAGCAAAAATTTCCACGTTATTTTACTTTCTTACCGATCAAATTCCTTCTTTTCAGCTAAGAAGATATGTTTATCAAGATTTTATCATCAGATGAATAAAAGCAGCAATGGGGTGGCTAATTAAAAGTAGTCATGTGGATATCGAAATCTGTTCGATTTGTTTCCCAGTTACTCTATTATATCAGGTGAGAGTATGATGTCACGCCTAAATACGCGCGCGTGTTTCATCGCAACCCGAAGCTTGAGCTCTACCAATCTTCTCCCAGCAGGCAACGAACCCAACAATCTTCTCAACAAGGTGCGCCTGCTATCCTCACGGGGACAACTCCTGGAAGCTCTCTCACTCTTATACAATACAGTGCCGGAACTTCACTGTCAACAAATATATGCCACTCTGTTCCATGAATGCGCCCGCCATGGATATCTTCAACAAGGTCTTCATTTGCATCATTTCATGCTTGCCCATTTTCCCAACAGCACCTCTGACCTCTTTGTCACCAACCATCTCATCAACTTTTACTGCAAATGTGGCCATTTACAATATGCTCAGCAATTGTTTGATGCAATGCCTGAAAGGAATGTTGTTTCTTGGACAGCACTTGTTTCAGGGTATGCACAATGTGGTCGGGGTGTGGAATGTTTTGGTCTCTTTTCTAGCATGTTGGTTGATTGTCGGCCAAATGAATTTGCGTTTACAAGCGTGCTTAGTTCGGGTGATTACTTGCGTGGAAAGCAAGTGCATGCACTCGCAGTGAAGATGGGATTGGATGCTTCTGTTTACGTAGCAAATGGTCTTATTACCATGTATAGCAAGAGTTATAAGATAGAGGAGGCTTGGACATTGTTTAAGAGTATGCGCTATTGGAGTCTAGTTTCTTGGAATTCAATGATTGCCGGGTTTCATTTAGCAAAGCTTGGGATGCAAGCTATTGGGGTTTTTGTCAAAATGCATCACGAGGGCATTGGGTTTGATCGTGCCACACTGCTCAGTATCTTTTCTTCATTATGTGGAAGCAGTGGTATTGATATAGATCTGGGTCTTAAGTTTTGCCTTCAATTATACTGCCTTAGTGTTAAAACCGGTTTTATCTCTGAAGTTGAAGTCGCAACTGCATTTATGAAAGCTTATTCAGATTTTGGAGGAGATGTTTCTGAATTTTATCATCTCTTCTTGGAGCCAAGTTGTCCTGGCGATATCGTTTTTTGGACTAGCATAATAACTGCATTTGCAGAACGTGACCCACTTGAAGCTTTCTTCCTTTATCGGCAACTGCTACGAGAGGGCTTGACACCAGACTTGTATACTTTTTCAATTGTACTAAAAGCTTGTGGAGGCTTTGTAACTGAGCAGCATGCCTTGGCAATTCATTCACAAATGATTAAAGCTGGGTTTGAGGATGAAACAGTGCTAAAAAATGCCTTGATCCACTCCTATGCAAGATGTGGCTCTATTGCTTTGTCTAAGCAAGTTTTTGAAGAAATGGGATGTCATGATTTGGTTTCCTGGAACTCAATGCTTAAGGCCTATGGTTTACACGGAAAAGCTAAGGAAGCACTACAACTCTTTCCACAAATGGATGTCAAACCTGATACTGCTACCTTTGTTGCTCTTCTTTCAGCTTGTAGCCATGCTGGACTGGTAGAAGAAGGGATCAGAATCTTTGACTCCATGTTTAAGAATTATGGTATTATTCCTCAATTAGATCACTACGCTTGTATGGTAGACATTCTTGGACGAGCTGGGCGAATAATTGAGGCTGAGGAACTCATAAGTAGAATGCCTATGGAGCCTGATTTTGTGGTTTGGAGTGCTCTACTTGGGTCATGTAGGAAGCATGGTGAAACCCAGTTGGCTAAAACTGCAGTAGCTAAACTAAAGGAGATGGAGCCTAAAAGTTCATTAGGTTATATACAAATGTCAAATTTATATTCTTCAAGCGGCAGTTTCAATGAAGCAGGAACAATTAGAAAAGAAATGAATGTGACAGGAGTTAAAAAAGAACCTGGTCTAAGCTGGATTGAGGTTGGAAACCAGGTGCATGAGTTTGCATCCGGAGGCAGACATCATCCTCAAAGAGAGGCTATATGCACCAAGCTTGAGGGACTGATTGGGCAGTTAAAGGAGATTGGTTATGTACCAGAAATAAGCTTCGCCTTACATGACATTGAGGAGGAGCACAAACAAGAGCAATTATTCCGCCACAGTGAGAAGATGGCTTTGGTATTTGCCATAATGAATGAAGGGAGTTTGCATTGTCGTGGAAGTGTGATAAGGATTATGAAGAACATCCGAATTTGTGTTGACTGCCATAACTTCATGAAGTTAGCTGCATATCTTCTTCAAAAAGAGATAATTGTTAGGGATTCAAATCGTTTCCACCATTTTAAAAATAAAATCTGCTCTTGTAATGATTATTGGTGATAAGCTAGCCCTTCTTGGTTTACACACCTAGACTAAAAAAATGAATTACATCTTTATTGATAAGAAAATGAAATATCTTGCCATCAGCTGTGCGGTCCATTACCAGAGCATTTGATTTTTAATTTTTGTAATGAGGTTTAAACATTCAAAATCTCACTTAATATTTATATAGAGAAACTTCAAAATCGTAAAATAATGAACAATATATATATATATATATAAATATATCTTTAGCAATTTATTACATTAACTTTTTTATTAAATTAAAATAATAATTAAATTTATTTATTTTCTTATTAACACTGAAATCCTTATAAAACAATAAAAGTATACTTTCTTTAATTGATACTTTTCTTGTTAAATTAAATGTTGACTAATTTTTTTATATTTAATTTGATCTCTTTACCACAAACTACCAAAATATTCGTGTTCCGTACGGGGCGTATTAATGCTCAGTAATTGTTTAGAGACGAGCAAGTTCAAAATATATTTATTTAAAATCTTTAGGTAAGCAAAATAGTAATTGCATTGTAAAAGTAATTTATTGAAGTAATAAATCAATAATATAAATATTAAATAAAATATGACGATTATATAAACTCATTTATATAGTTCAAAAATCTCACTATCAATAATAATTAATGTAGAATATAATTTAATTTCAAATTTTTGAAGAAGAAAGAAAGAAAAGTTATTCTGGAAACACAGTAGAATTTTTAATTCTATAAGGATGATTAAAAAATTGACACATATTCTATTAAAATATATATGTATATTAATTATTAAATAAAAATATAAAAATCTTTTGACCTCAGTTTTTTTTTTATGCACCAAATAATAATAGGAATCAAATAAGCTAAGAAAGGCCCAGAAGACCTTAACGTTGGAAATGGAATTAAAGCTAAGTAGACCAAGGCCCAGCCCCTCATTCATTTACGCACCTTTCAACCCGGAGCTTTTCTTGAAAAAAATAAAATAAAAAAGAAGAAGGGCAGATTTGTGGAAGGAATTCGGAGCAGCAGAAGCAGCACCTTCAACTTCAACAATGGCGACCATGGCAGCAACACAACAACACTACCAGCATCCAACATCACTAGAGGAAGTCCGTACGCTTTGGATAGGAGACCTCCAGTTTTGGGTCGATGAGTCCTACCTCAACTCTTGCTTTGCTCACACTGGCGAGGTTCCCATGCTTTACCCTCCCTCTCTCTCTGTCTTTATGTACACAAAATTTATGTCTCTAACCAAAAAATTTATGGGTTTTTTTCTTTGGATGTTTGAATAAACTTTGGTTGTTGCTTAATTTGATAGCTCGTTGTGGGAATTTTGTAGGCCATCTTATTCTATAATTTTGAATCTGCAAAATATATGTAAGCAAGGATGTTGGTAAAGTTTTAAGTTTTGTTATGTTCTTAAAACTATCTTTCAAGATTACGTTTAATAGAAAACTCTTATAAATTGAAATAATAGCCAAACAATAATTGAGTTCGATATGAATTTTGTCAAATTATTATTAAATCACTTATGAATTCCAAAATCATTACTTCAAAATATTTTAATAACACATGGCACAGGAGGAGCTTGTACTATCTTTTTTATAATAATAATAATAAAGACATCTGCAAAGCAATATATTGAATAGGGGTTTTAGTGTGTGAAAGCAATTTGGCTGCTACTGTGAAACCTGGGAGGGATAACAGAGAGATATGTAAAACCCGTACAATAATCAATGCAACTTGCTTTTTGCCTCAAGTATTTTCAATGAGCCTGAAGATAGAGCCAGTTTAAGAATCTGACTAGTGCTCAGCCAATTAGAGCAAAAGTTAAGACAAGAGCTTTACTAGATTGTCAAATATCAGGCCTCTTGAATTAATATTGATTAAAAATAGTATACAAGCAATAATCTGTATTGGCCTTCTACCCTTTGTTTTATTATATTAATTGGTCAAACCTCCATTGTTGTGCATGCACATTGTTGATTCAAGCAATCATCAAACTTGTGAAAACTCTAGGAATTTTCCAAGCATTAGTTGCAAACATTCACAGTAATTTGGTAAATTTAGAGGTCAGGTAGTATCAGATGTCATCATATGCTAAAGTTTCATGTTATATTTGTTTCCTTTTTTTAATTCAATCATTGTGGTTTTTTTTAGGTTATGTTGCCTTTGAAATGACCCATTATTTCCACTCTCTGCAGCTAGTCTCAATAAAAATTATACGTAACAAGATCACTGGCCAGCCTGAGGGATATGGATTTGTGGAGTTTGTTTCTCATGCAGCAGCAGAAAGGATACTGCAGACTTACAATGGGACACCGATGCCTGGAACTGATCAAATGTTCAGGTTAAATTGGGCTTCATTTGGCATTGGAGAAAGACGTACTGATCCTGGGCCTGAGCATTCTATTTTTGTAGGGGATTTGGCACCTGATGTTACAGATTATCTATTGCAAGAGACCTTTCGAGCGCATTATCCATCTGTTAGAGGTGCCAAGGTTGTAACTGATCCAAATACCGGACGCTCAAAGGGATATGGATTTGTTAAATTTTCTGATGAGATTGAGAGAAATCGTGCTATGACTGAGATGAATGGTGTGTATTGCTCAACTAGAGCTATGCGTATTAGTGCAGCAACACCAAAGAAGACCACTGGATTTCAGCAGCAATATGCCGTGGCAAAAGGTTATATTCTTTTCATTAACTTTGACCAAAAGAAAACCATAGCCACATTAATTTATTTCTTTTCTTGCCTCCAAAATCTTTTTGTGCTTCTGTTTTTTCGATTGCCCCAATGTGGCTGCCCTCAATTTGATTGTGCTATCCATTGTTGCCATTTTGAATACAAAGGTGCATGGCTAAAAAGATGCATCACTTGGTAAATTTACAACTGATTTTTAGCTATTTACATTAAATATCAATCTACTGTAACATCTGAAATGCGGTTTGTTTCCTTTTTTTTTTTCCTGTTTTATGGTGGTTTCATGAAGCAGTATAGCAAAGAAATTAATATTATTTCATGCACTTTGAGGATAATGTCCCTGATTTGCTGCTATGAGAATATTTTCCTGACTATATATTTTCATATGTATTTTTGTAAATAATATAAATGTGATACTACAGTTCGTACTCTGCATGCAACTTTTTTACTGGTTCCATTGCAGCTAAGGACTTAAGTACATCTGTATGTACATTGCTCTTTGATACAATAGCCATAATTAGATACATGTATGTAGACTTACATGCACATATGAAGGCAAGAAATTCTAAAATGCACTTATCCATGGTTTTTCTTCAGCCATATATCCAGCTCCAGCATACACAACTCCTGTGCAGGTGCTTCCACCAGATAATGATAATACTAATACAACGGTAACGAGGCATATTCGAGTTGTTTCAGAAATTATCTCTTATCTCTTTGGCTAACTATCCTATCTTTTGCAGATTTATATTGGCAACTTGGATCCAAATGTCACAGAAGAGGAACTGAAGCAATTCTTCTCACCATTAGGAGAGATTTTATACGTCAAGATTCCTGCAGCCAAAGGATGCGGCTTTGTACAGTTTGCAACCAGGTAACATCAAGTGAAACCAGGACTACACTAGTAACTTGTAGTAGTGTTTTCCATTGGTGTATTGTTGGGCGGAGTGTTTATTAAATCATTTATGACTAGATTTTAGTTCACGACCTCTTTATCTTTTTAACTTATAATGTAGATGGCCTAGAGGACCTAGTACAGTTTTTTTTTCCCCTTGCACAAGAGTTGCATAAAGATTAATGATGGAGAGAAGATGAAAGATTTAGCGGTAGAAATATTCAAGTGGGACTGCTGCAGAGCCTATTATCTTGTTTTATATATTAGTCAAGTTTTATGGTTGTCTTCCCTTTATCTGATATGTTGGTTAATAACTTTTGACTTCCACTATTTTTTGTCTGCAGGACATCTGCTGAAGAAGCTATACAGAGGATGCAAGGGCAAATGATTGGTCAACAGGCTGTCCGCATTTCTTGGGGTAGGAGCCCAACAGAAAAACAGGTGATACTCCTGATATTATCAAATTCACACTTTGATTTAGTTATATGGAAAAATGTTTTTAGCATATTTATGCTCCTAGCATTGATTTTGGTTGTATTGTGTTTCCTTTGAACCCCCCTCTTTTCTCCCCCAAGAAAAAAAGGAAACAAAAGGCTGTTATTGTATATCAAAAATTGGATGAAATGGGTGGTGAATTATATAGTAAAAGTTCATTAATTGTACATATTTATGAGGAATGCTTTTTCACCATGTAAGGTTGTTAGATTTAGATGAATATAGTGTCTTTGGTCAACCTTCTTATGTAGGTAGAGGTAACTTTTATGCTACTTTGCTTTACAATATTTGGCATTACTTTAGGACCTACCTGGAGGCTGGGGTACACAAGTTGATCCCAGTCAGTGGAGCTCATACTATGGTTATGGACAAGGCTATGATGCATATGCTTATGGAGCTACCCAGGATCCCTCTTTCTATGCATATGGTGCTTATGCTGGCTATGCACAATATCCTCACCAGGCAAGAGATTTTGACATATTAGCATTACCATTTCTTCTAACAGTTACTGCCGTTAACATTGTCTTTTAAAATGTTATGTTTGTGTTTATATTTAGAAATGAATTTTGCAGTGTAAGTTAATACACTTGCAGTCATTTTCTTCCAAATTTGACCGTGTTGGTAATTACATTAAGAATGAATAATGCTGGATGGATGAGCCACTTCATGAAACCAAACATTTGTGCCACTGCTCGTTGTGCACTTTCCAAGCTTTATTACTGATATAGTATCATTTATAGTATGTTCTTATAGAATCAACAGAACCTACACTGTATTTACATCACTGACTTAACTAAAGCCCACATGTGCAATGTAGCCACCGAGAAGGTTTGAAGTATATAGTGTGACTTGCAGTTACTGATCTGAATGCATTTAAGAAAGTGAAGAACTTATTTTAGCTAGCTGCATGATACTTGAAATTTCATCAAGTAACTTGCTGTTCTGAATGCAATTGGGAAAGTTACAGCAATTTAAATGAAACCTCGAAACTGCCTAAAATTTATTACAAGATTTACAACTGATTTGCAGGTTGAAAGTTCTCAAGAAATGGCAGCAATGGCAGCCGGTGTCCCAGCTGTAGAACAAAGGGAGGAGTCATATGATCCATTGGCAACTCCTGATGTTGATAAGTAAAGTTTCTCTCCTCTGGTTCTGTAATAAATTATCTGTTAACTGTTTCGTGGATAATTAATTCAAGTCTGTGATTGTTATTGCTAGGTTAAATGCAAGCTACCTCTCTGTTCATCGAAGTGCCATATTAGGCCGGCCCTTATGGCTGAGAACCTCCATTTTGCCGCAATCATGAGCCTCTAATTTCTGTCCTTTATTTATGGTGATCATCACCTTTTTATAAGGATACATGGAAAATCATCATTCTCGCATTTAATTGCTAGAATCTTCCAACAGGAGATAAGGTAAAATGACAAATCTCTGAACGCTGATGTCTTCTACTCAGATTTAGCACAATTGTAATGCCCTGGAGTGCCCTTAGGATGAATTTTTTTTTTTTTTGGATAATTGAAATATTTTCATTACCCAAAAAGCAGGAAAACGCCTGCTATTAGAGAGCATCTTACATAATTGATTGCAGCGTTTTTTGAATATCTTAGGATGAATATCTTTACGTAATTGATCGTAGCTTTTTCTATTGGTGTAACATTTTTACAGAGTTGGTGCCTCTATGCTTTCTTGTGTAGATTAGCTAATCTTGCATGGATAGTAGAGAATGTAGCATCATCTTACCAGGGTAATTAATTGAAACTCAAGCCTGTAGGAATTCTTAACATTTTTTTCTTGATTAAAGGTATTTGGTGTTCGTTCTTATACGGAATGTGGCAACTTGCGAGTTACAATGAAAAAACTGAAATACGTGACAAAATACAATGATTTTTAACTTATTTCTCAATACTCAAAGCCAATTTAATGGGGAAAAAAATGATTGAGTCAATTCCATAAAGATTCTAAAATAATTGGAGCAACCCCCAATCATCCAGAAAATAATAATAAAAAGGTTTGTCTGATTATATGATTATATAAAGAGGTGTTTGATTCGGGAAATTTTAAATTTTTGTAAAAAAAGTGTTTTTTGGGATTGCTGATTTATGAGAAAGGATGATTTTTTTTTTTTTTGTTACAAGAATATTAGATTTTGGTGTTTGGTTTGTAGAATTTTAAGTTACATAATAAAAATTTTTTATTATAATATTTTTTATTATAAGTAAATAACATATTATCAGTATGAGAACTTTTAATTGTTAACTTGTCATATATGTAGTTACATATTCATAATAATTTATTATTTTTTATTAATTAAAAAAAATTAGAAAAAAGAAGTTTTTATTTTTTATTATGTTAAAAATAAAATCAGATATTATTAAAAAAATCTAAAATATAATAAAACACACAAGGATAATGTTTATTAAGTAAAAAAATGACTTAATAGTGAACAAGCATGACGTTTTTATCTATACAAACACAGTATGAATATTTCCAAGTCAAGCATGTCATTTTTGTCATTATAAACATAGTTTTTAACAAATCATAAAGAAAACTTATTTTAACAAACACGACATTTTGCTTTATAAATATTGTAATATTAAACAAGTAAAATGTTTTTACTATTATAAATATAGTGTTTGACAAATAATCAAAATGTTATATTTAACAAACATAACATTTTGGTTTTCTAAACAAACCCAACGTTTTGGTCATTATAAATGTAGTGTTTGACAAATCATAAAAAAAATTTATTTAACAAACATGATTTTTTTTTTTATAAATGCTATAATATTAAATAAGTACGACGTTTTTGTTATTATAACGCAATGTCTGATAATCTTTATATACTTGTTTTCCTCAAATCTATAGATATTTTTGTGTCTGCATCAATGCATTCTCCTTCCACATTGTTTTTACATCTAAATGCCCTTTACGCCATTGTTGCTACCTTTTTATTATTTTAGGTAATAAATCATTTTTCATTGATTTATAATATAAAACAAAGAAAATAATGGGATTTTCAAAGTATATATCTCTTATTTCCATTCCATAATTGTTTCTAGAGATATAAAATCTTGGAGATATAATTGATTATGAAAAACACATGTCTCCCCCAACTGAACATGAAGAACATGTGTCATTAGCCCATTTGGTTGATATAATATCTTCAAAAAATGAAAAGCTAAAAGACAATTGAAGTTGTTTCAAGCAACTAGGAAAAAAATAAATGTAGAATTCAATGTCGATGGTTAACTTGTTTTAAGTGGTGGGTCGAAGATGCCTAGCTATATAGGACGTCTTGTCCGAAAGATGATATCCATTAACTATAGCAATAGGGAAAATGTTTTAGCAAAGAAAAAAGATCAAATTTGGGAATCAGTTGTGGTAAGTCATATTAATCAAATTAAAGTTATTGATACTTTGATGTCTATTACTTATGAATGCAATTACATTGCTTTATTCTAATGTATTATTTCATTCATCTTAAGAACACTTTGACATACCAATTGAGTACAAGAAGGTTGTATTACAATTTTTTGGTCTAAAATTTAAAAACTTCAAAGGTAGATTAACTAAGAAATATATATTACCTAATATTGATAATTCTGAACTTTTGACCCATCTCTAACCACATATTTAGAAGTAATTAATGACACAAAATGGACAAAATTTGTTACAACTTGTTATCAGATGAATTCAATGTATGTATAGCATTTTTTTTTTAAAATTATTGAAAAGTAATTGTTATTGAAATTGTTTGTTTCATGGGTTATTAATATACAGTAATTCATTTCCTATTTTGTTGCAGAAAATAAAAAAAAGCTTAACAGAAAATAAAGGCCCAAAAAAAGTATAATTATAGAGCATCAAGAAAGGGTTATGCAAATTTGAAGCATAAACTTATAAGTTTTTTTTATTGTGTATTATAAACTTAGTTCATTTTAGTTGAAATTCATTTACATTACAAAAAGAACTTGTATTTTCATATAGTTGCAGGAAACATTTAGATCAAGCAACAAAATATCAAAATAAGATGTTCGAAAAAAATACATGCATTAAAAACTAAAAGGTATTATGATGAAGCAACTGAAGAAATAATTAAGAGGATGGTAAGTTCATATATATCTTGATTGCTACTTCATCATTGTCCATGTTAATATATCATATTGACTTACGCATGCGTATTGTATTTTAGAACGATTTAGCTATGAGATGTACATCCGATGAAATGGAAACTGGTGATGATGTTGATGTGCTAACTTTGACTTTCGGTTCTAAAGAGAAACTTGGATGTGTTAAGGTGTTGGGAGCTTTGTTTGTCCAACAAATTATTTTAAAAACAAAACTTAAACTCTGTACATCAAAGACCGTTATGATAAATTTTACACATTGCTGAATTGAAGGCACAATTGACAGTTATGATAATTACTACAATGGGTCAATCATTTATGGAGAATTTAGGAAATGTATTTACGGATAAAACTTTTGAACAATCATCTCTTCTGATAGTATATGTTCTACTTAATTAATTAGATTTTAGAGTTATTGTGATTTGATTTTATATGAATACACTTGAATTTTATATGTACGAGGTTTTAAAGACTAAGATTAGTTGAGTTCCACCTATGAAATCTAGTATGCATGCGCTTTTCCGTTATATGAAATATCAATTAATAGATGGAAAACTAATAAACAGAGTAATCAAAGATAAATTGTTTTATTATTCAATAGTTTGTGGATTGGACAAGAAGAAATTGTTAGATTTTGTTCAAAGATAAAAACATTAGTTACAAAATTTCTAGTGTATATGAGATTAACTTATATATTCGTTAAAATATAAATAATATATATTTATTTACATATAGTGTAAACTTGTATTATAATTTATTTGTATTTCATTGCAGCCTTCTTTACAAATGTATGAAAGAGAGACAGATAACTACTATTTATAGATTAATTGACCAAAATCGTATATCCAATATAATATGTTTTCTATTTTTAAAACATTATTTTTATTATATAAATTTTTTCATAACATATTATAAAATATGACAATGTTTCCAATATAACAACATTGTTTAAATGAAAATTTTTTATTTATTAAGATTTTATTTTATACATCCTTCAACTACATTTATAATTAAAAAATATTGTCTTTCTAAAATTTTATTAATTAAAAACAAATATTTAAATTTATAAAAATTCAAATACATATGATCATTGATAGGTGTCCAATAGTGTAGTAATGAATACAATTTTGTCCAATCGTATGATTAGGAATGTAACTCGACATGTTAGAATATATATCAATTTCTCATGTAATTAAATTAATTTTCAAAAGTTAAATAGATCGTAAAAATTATTATTGAGGTCAAAAGTGAAACAAATTTTATATTCTTCTAATAATCTTAAAAAATCTTAAGAGAGTGATATTTTATTTAGAGTTATCACCTTTTTTTTTGGATATTGTTAGAAATCTTATAATGTCTCAACTATCAAAATTTGTGAATCAAATTAAAAAAATTAAATTACGAAAAGCAAGATTCTAATCAATAATCTAATTTTCTACCTCTTAAAATTAAAAAAAAATTTACTCTTTTAATTTTTCCAACTAAATCGAAACAATTTTTTTTAATTTAATAAAAAATCTTCAAACCATAAAAACAAAAGCACCAACATCTTAATCCTTTTCTTTCCCTTAAGAAAGCTCCAAAATAAAAGAAAGGCATCTTTAAGATTAGAACTCACCTAATTTTCATTTAAAATATTCAATTTTTTATATATGATATTTTATATATTTATATTATATAAAATATTAAAATTTATATATTTATATTATATTTTATATAAAAATTACATATCATAATTTATATAAATATAAAAAATAAAATATATATTTTTAATTTTATTAAATTTATATATAATTATTATTAAAATTTTAAATTATATCACTTTATATTTTATATATATATATATATATCATATCATCATACACCCCGTATCATCAAATTTATAATTTTCTACTATTTATTATAATTTATTAAAATTTTAAGCTATAATTTCCTGTTTTATTACCTTTATGTTTCAATAACTTAAACACAAAATCTCGTTAAGAAATTAAAATGCATTTTCAAAAAGAAACCTTTCTCTATTTAGTTCTCAATGTCTAATGGTGCCTCGGTCCTTCACTCTCCTTATCTCTCTCCTCCCCTTCCCTCCTTCCCCTTCTCTTCTCAATTCTTTCATCTTTTAAACCCTAAACAAAATTAAATTTGAAAAAAAATGCAATCAATTAAAAAAAAAATTAAAACTGTATTTTTCAAAGAATCGATCATCGTCGCTATCATCTTCAAGTCTTCAAGTTCTTCTTCAGTCTTTTCATCTATCTAAGACTTTCTCTTTAATCTTGAAACAAGAATCTTAGAAAATTTTTCTTTGATTCTAGATATTTTCAGATTTAGCAGCTTAGGGAGGTAAGGGATTTTGGGTTTTATTTTGTTGTTAGCAATTTGTGGATTTCGAAATTTATTGGTTTTAATTTGTAAACTGTTTTTTAAAAATTCTTTTTTCATTTAACAAATGGTGAAAAGGAAGACACGTTGACATGACGAAAAAATAAAAATATTAATTTTTTATTTGTCAGATTTTAATATGTAAAGATGCCACATCAGCAAATTTTTTAATGAAAGTATGTTATGCATAAAAATATAAATGATATATTAGTATTCGTAAATTATTTAGATTCGATTTAAATAAAATTTAAATTTGATTTGATTATTATCGAGTTGAACTCGAATTTGAATAGTTTTACTCATCGATCTAGTTAAATTCGAGTATTTTTATACCTAGTTCGAATAGCTCGTGAATTTAATCGAATTTTTATATTTAAATATATTTTTATTATTTTAATTAATAAAATATTTTAAACTTGAGTTAAAATTTCAGTATAAATAATTAAATTTTTATCGAATATAAAAATCGAATTTATTTTTATATGTTAATCAAGTCTAATCAAATGAACGCAAGTAATTCGATTTCTATTTCGAATCAAATTTAAATTAAAAAAAAAAATTTGATCTTGAATCGAGTTTCGAACTTTAAATTTTCAATCGAACTCGAATTTAATATCGTATCGACTCAAACTCTATCAATTACACTCCTAATTATGTATTGTTTTATCTCACGAAAATAAAGTTTTGATAATTACATTTTCTTTTAAGTATCATAATAAAAAATGTAATAATTTAGAGGTCATTTATTTTATTATCCCATCAAAATATAAGTAAAAATATTTTTATATATTTATATTAATATATTTAAAAATTTGATTAAAAATAATCAATTAATTCAATTATTAGACTTAAACACTATTCCATTATTAATTATAGACACTAAAAACTAATCGAATTAACCAATGAAATTATTTTTTTAATCAATCATATTACCAAGCTGAACAAACAGAATTAATTTGACTGAATTCAATCAATTTTAATGGATCAAATCAATTAAAATCGACTTATCCTCATCATATTTAAACTCAATACCTAAAGCATTATTGCACTCTGCACACACTCACAATGCTCTCTTATAGTATTTTTTTGTTAATATGTGTTCTTTTGAGCTTTGATTTGAGTTTATGACCCTTTTGGCTTAATACTTTGGAGTTGCATTTGGTTTCACTCTCATAAACTTTGGTGTAATTGATAGGTCATGAGTGTGATTGGCAAACCAAAATTACAATGCAGTAATACAAAAAAATGGCTTGATGGTAAGCTATTTTTATTAGGCCAATTATGCACAAAACTCGTGAAAATTCCTGTCTCTATGAGAAGATGGAAACTCCAAGACTCTTTAACTGCTTGAAATTGTCCATAATTCATTTCCAAATTATGGCAAAAGGCTTGCTTCCAAAGCACATTATAAATTAATAGCAGTGATATACAACAATATGGGAGAAACAAGTCTAAATCAAAGAGCTAATCAATAAAAAGGGTAAATCTCGGAAGAAGTACGGGCAAAACATAGAGCTTCACCTTGAGAGTGCTCTGAGACGAGAGGTTGCTATGGCTGAACAGTCAATGAATTTCTCCGAACACATTCCATTGCATTAGGAAGATGCAATGGCTGGTTCCAACTGCCAAAAATGCAACCTTAAAGTATATGCAACCACTTCCCTCTTAGCTTTTGCAGCCAATTAACTCAAACGGTCAGATGCATGTTCCCCTTTATCTGACAGGAATTCAAGAACTGATCAAGCTTCTATTAAGTTCATTGTTGTCAATGTGAACAGATTTTTCTGGAGAAATTTCTGGTTTTGCCTTGATCTTAACTGGTTTTCCAATCTTTGATTTATCTTCCATTCTTGCAATCTCAAGAGCCTTTGCACAAACAGGAAATCCTTGATCATCCCAGGACTCCAAAATTACACCAGAACCTATGCAGGTTTTACCCTCATAGAAGGCTGCAAATTGCCCAGCTGCAAGACCTTGATCATCTTCAGGTAAGTGGACAACTGCAACATCTTCACTGCCATCTTCACCAGGCACCATTTTAAAACTGCAGTTGTAAAAGCCAGGACCATGTCTGACCTGAAAAGGTTAGACTAGTTAGCTACAAGCAATATGCCTCAGACTGTTAAACTAATAATAATAAAATGATTTCCATAATAAGGTCATTTGAAAAGAGACTGTCAATGAATTAAGTAACCTAAGACTAAAGTCATCCATCACATAATTCCAATCTCACAATCTCAACAATGTAGCTTTTGTTCAGGTCCTAATGTGGTTGGCGGTCAAGTAACAACTAAAGTGCAAAAATCAAAGAATATGACAACTTCACCAGAGATTTAGCTAGATGATTAATGGCACAGTTGGAGACAAGGTATAGACCTCTACATCATGAGTTCAATCTTTGAAGTCTAGATTTAACCTTTGTAGGTGTCAAGGTGATGACTAAATTGCCTTCCCTTTACCCTCCTCATCAATACCGGTGATCTGCCCCCGGTCCACCAACACGCCCCCCCCCCCCCCCCCCCCCGGCCCCCAAAAAAAAAAAAAAAAAAAGGAAAAAAGAAAGGGAAACCAGGAGGTGATATGCAACATTGTAAATATTAATACGAAATTATGAAAATAAAGTGCTAGGTTGTTTTACCTTGCATTGGAGCTGACCAATATGGTTTGGAGGTGACCCACTAAACCACTTCAAGGAGCCAACACGAAACAGGCGCCTTCTTTTGTCAAATGAGAAATAATTTCTTGACACAAATACTACATTATTTATGACATCCTTCTCAACAACATACCTGGAGAAAAACACAACATATGGTTAGAAATAAGATCAGAAGGTATGAAGAAATGGAATATTCAAGTGCATAAGGTTTTTAAATTGGAAAGAACATTACAGCAATGTCCATCAATTTTACCTAAGTGTACAGTGATAAGTAGTGGTTTTCCTGGAATCCTATACTAAAGGTGAACCTGCTCATCTAATACCAGTTCATTTTATGTTCAATTTCCTAGTTTGACATCATATCGAAGCAGACCCAACCCCTGTTTGATAATCCCATCATATGATACGAGAAGCCTAGTGACCTATATAATACAATCTCAAATCAGCAAGTTTGGGCTGCCAATTATATTTAACAGAGGTCTCTCCATTTCTGCCAAGTGGTATTAGATTGGGATGCCCACAAAATTTGACACAAAAATAAATTGAGAATAATGTTGGCTATAGCAAATTGACTGGAATATGATGTTACCAATCATCAAATTATGCATCTTTAACATGTATGTAATTCAATATTATATGAAGAATTATCAGCGATGCACAGCTAAAAGAATCATTTCTAAAAACCAAAAAGTGATAACAAAGGGTAAAACACTGTAGAGAATTATTAATCCTACAACATTGAAACTGACTGGAAAATGATGTTACCAATCATCAAATTATGCATCTTTAACAGGTATGCAATTCAATATCATATGAAAATTTATCAGCCATGAACAGTTAAAATGAATCATTCCATAAAACTCAAAAGTGATAAGAAAGGGTAGAGAACAGTAGATTTATTAATCCTATAACATTGGATGCTACAGCAATTTTCTCTAAAAGTTGAAATCTTAATGTTTGTTTCCCTGGATTAAAGGACAATGACCAGACTGATGCCAAAACTAAATAGTAATAGAGCATACCAAGGTCCTCCAGGGAGACGTAGGCCTTGACGTTGACCAATTGTGTAGAACCAGAACCCTCGATGTTTCCCAAGGAAGTCTCCTGTCTCAGCTTCTAATATGATTCCTTCCATCTCTCCAATATGTCTTGCAACAAAATCACTAAACCTTATCTGTGATAAACCACCAAAATCAAATCAACAGAAAATTTTATACATTCCTAAAAAATGTTGCCATGTAACAGTTATGTGCATAAAAGATCACTAGACGGTTTTCTAAATTTTCCTCAATTATCTGGCCTAAAGCATTTGCTTCTTAATAATAAAATAGTTAAAACCAAACCTAAACAACATGAGTGGAACTTTGGGGGCAAGATGTGTTTAACTTTCCTCCAAAGTACAAAGTCAATACTTGGGAGGACTTAAAAAAAACTTCAATTATATATTTGAATGGAATATTATAAAAATGTATGGAAATGAGGTTGAAAACAAGTACTAACATAACATACCTTCCCAAGAAAGCAAATTCCTTGTGAATCCTTCCTACCTTTGTTAGGCAGGTCAAATTTAGCTGCCAGTTGGCGAACTTCATCCTGTATATGACATAGTAGAAAATAGAAGAAAAATCAGAATAAAAAGAATAGTGCAAGAGTCTAGTGTAAGAAAAAATAAGACCAGAAAGCTTGGATGCAAAAGGAAATAATATTTTGTTTAAGAAAAGGCCACAAAATCAGACAACTAATGTAATAAGTTCTGGAAAGACACAGTCAAACATCCACAACATTAAAAGACAAGAGCTTTAGCAGTCGATAACAATGGAAAACATACAGATCAAGGGCATGACAATCAAGGCAACAGGATCTATGATTAATAATAATATTTGTTACAGGAACTGATCAATACAATGAACCTCCATGTTTATTTGTTATTACCATCCTGCTTCCCTTTCTAATAACAGCAATCTGAAATGCTTAAAATAAAATTCACCAATTATACAATAAAAATAATAACAATAACACAGCAGGTACCACCTTAAGTACGAAATAGAGGGAAGAATACAAATAGCAACCATTGACCAAATTGCAATCAATCTAGTCCTTCTCACCTTTGGGAGACATCCAAGTGGGAAAATAAGTCGTTTAAGCTGGAATTGAGAGAGATGTGAAAGAAAGTATGTTTGATCCTTGACCTGTGAAGTCAACATTATAGATCTGAGAAAAAGCAGCACTTAATATTAATAATGCACAGAACAAATCATTATACTGAACTAAAATAACAGAAAATGAACAAAACATGACCAATTTCCTACAAGATGCACACTGAATTCATGGTTTTTGAATATATATATATATATATGATTCACATGTAACAAAAACTTCAAATATTCCGGTAAGTCATTTCTGACAGGCAAATTAAAATACATAAAAACTTCCCTATCAAGGAAAGTTATAGAATATTTTCCATAAAAATGCAAAATTCTTCTTATAGGTCCAAAACATTAAATAAAACACCATAAGAAATAAGAGAAACCATGTTTACAATGTACTTCGTCCAGAAAAAGCTTAGGCGTCATTTCAAACTCAGGTTTTCAATATTAAAGCAAATTCAACTTCAAGCATGTCCCTTATGATCACATAACTGCCAGATACACCCCAATAAGCAAAGAAGAACATGTATATAAACCAATGTTAACATTTGCTGAACATCCAGCTTATAATAGTCTAACAAGACACTTTCAAGACAGCCATCGGAATAGAAAAGAATTATTGCGTAAGTACCATGTCCTTTGATAGTTCTAAGATAGAAGGCTTATTGCTTTGATCAGCAGATGGGTGAACAACATTGGCATAATGCCCAGAAGCAATATAGTCATAATCTATCTTGTTGATGGCATCCATGAATGCACCTGAAAGTCACTACTAACATAAATGCAAACGAACATAGTATGGATTTAACCATCAATACTATCAATTTTCCAAAGCAAAAAAGAAAACAAAAAAGAGCCAAAAACCTCTAACATTAATAAATGGCTAAAATCCAGCTGGGATGCATACCAAATTTTATTCTTGTATTGCAAAGAACATCCGGATTTGGAGTACGGCCACATCGGTACTCCTCAATAATGAAGGAAACCTGAAAGACAAGTAGCTTTATGATAAATAAAGGCAAACAAGGAATCAATAATTAATAAATTGAGTTTTCCTGTACAGGAAGTCCAAATTCCAAACATTTTAATTCATTTTGCATCAGCTACCAGGAGAGGACCATGTTTGTAAAGACAAGTTAAAAATCCCACTCAAAAGGTAAATTCATACCACATTGTTCCAATATTCATCGGTCAAATGCACAACTTCTAAAGGCACATCAACCTGAAAACCAACAAAATACTTATATGGTGAGTGGAAGTATTTCTGCTGCATTATGAATACCATGAAAATGAAAAAGCAACTTTGCCAATCATGTTTAAGCAAAAAAGCCTTCCAAAACAATTATACAGATAGGCACCATTCATGCATGCAAAGAAATGGAAATGACAGTTAAGCAAATGAAGATGGAAAAGGTTTGAGATGTGAAAAGTGGAGTGTGAATAATAGATAGAAAAATTGCAAACCCTGCATTACCTTAGATTATATATTAAACCGGTAATAAAAAACCAGCTGTCCAAAGATTTTTGAATATTTACATTCAGTCCAACTCAGCCATTGCACCTATTAGTGAGATAGATTTAAAAAAATGAACAATGATAACAACTATTAATAAAAGAAAATAACCTGATCACAAACAGCCCTTGCATACTTCATATCTTCTTCCCAGGGGCATTCTGTCCAATAGTTCTCAAAGTCTTCCTACACAAAACCAAGCATTACCATCTTCTAGTCTATAAAAAAACCAAGAAAAATGATAAATAGGTATTCTAATTCAATAAAGACATTTTATGAAGTATAGACACGGACACGTAATACAGCTACGACATGAAATAGACATGACGAAACGACAATTTCTAAAAATAAGGAAACAGATACGGTAGGACACAGTAATAAAAAATTTATATATTATTATCATCATTTAAAAATATATGGTAGATATTGGACTGGATTTTAAAAGATATTTAACCTTGTTAAAAAACAAACAGATGATAGACACAGCAATAAAAGAACATATGGTGTCATTATTCACATGAGAATTATCTTTTTCTTCTTTCTCTTCATCTTTGTCGTATCCGGCCAAGTTCGACACATATTTCAACGTGTCGCAAGCGTCAAAGTGTCAAACATGGATACAACACCATATGCAAGGGGTTCAGAAGTGTCTGTGCTTCATAGAAGACATTGAATAACCATGGCAGAATAATCTTAACAAGCATTAAAGTAATAGTTGAAAAAAAAAAAGCTAAAAACACCAAGGTTGCCATTGTGATAATCAAACACAAAGTTTGGCTCAGAACTGGTACAATAGTTTTTTTTGGTATTTAGATGTTTTCACGTTAAGCAATGGTTCTCAGTAGAATAAATCAAGTTGAAAGACACAAATCTCTTTCTCGACCATTACAAACTTTGAGTATTATATTAGTTTAATAGCTAATCTAACCTATTTTTTCAGTTTTATGAGGCAGTAAATATTTTTAAGTATTTTGTCTTATATCTTATCGTAATCCTTGAAGCTTTTTGCTTTCTTATTCAATCTTAGGGTTGTGTTTTACTCATGTATGCTTTTTGGGTTTCTATAGCCACCTAAACTTTAATAGAAAGTTTGTGAGAACATTTCTTTTTGGGCTACGTATGCATATGTCCAGTGAACTCTTGCTCATGATTTGAGCTCTGGCTAATAGCTCTCCCATAAATATTATGGAAGTTCTAAGTTTAGAATAGTGTAGGTATTGTAAAATCTCAAGTGTTTCTAAAAGCATACAACCCAAGAATGATAACAAAATTGGCAGACTAAGTCACTCATGATAGGTTGGCACTCTAGTAGAAAAGTGGACCAAAGTCTAGCGAGCGAGTCAAGCACCACCGAGGCAAGTTGTTATACCACTTTCTTAGTCGGTTATGCTAAGGCTCTAAAGATCAAGATTGTCTATGCAAAAAGAACCTCTAAGGTCTTGATGTGAGCTCAAGTTGGGTTTTGGGGTGTAAGATACATAATTGCTATCTTGTAAATGAGCTCTTCGAATGGAGACCTTCAGAAGCCATGATGAACTTGAGTTAAGCTCTAATAAATGCACCAAATTTTACATGATAGGCTCAAGTTGGGAAAAGTGAGCTTTGAGTGGGTTCATTGCTCAAGATGAATTTCAAATCATATAACATAGCTAGGGAAGAATTTCATCTGAAACACGATAACTTGGGGAAGAGCTTGATGACATTAAAGTAGCTTGGAATAATACCTAAAAAATACTTAAGTATATGAGAACTCACCATTGACCTGAAGAGGTCATATTCAGTTCTTGGCACGTAAGGGGCCCTTGGCATATACTGGTGAGTGCTCATCAGGGACCTAAAGAGTTCAAACTAGGATCTTTGCATTTAAAACCTAAAGAATTCTTCTTGGGTCTTGGTACTCTTTGGTGTTGCTTACCAAGCCTTACAGAAGGTTTATGGGAATAATCAGACGAAGGGTAATAGGCTAATTTTCTATAACCCTATGTATATGACAAACTTGCTTCCATTTAAAGAGCCTTTTATTTGCTACTACTAAGACTTTCTTTACTTTCTCACCAACTCAAACTCTTTACAGGCTTGATAGTCAGATAATTGAGTTAAAGCCAAGCTTCAATCTCTATCACTGCACTCTATCCTGTGGGTTATTGTCTAAGCACCACCATTTGCCACTAGAATCAAATTTTTACATCAACAAATAGAACACAAGATTCTATTTCACATATGGAACAACTATGCTAAAATAAGGGCTACATTTTAACTATTTGCTTATTTTTAATCAAATGTTAATTCATTGTCCAATATTCGCATTTGTTCCTGTAGCAAATTTTGAGGAAGCAAAAAAGTAGAAGCAAATAAAATAAGAACAAAACAGGTTTAAGGCATGTAGATTAGTAGATCACTTTCCTATAGGCAATTATGCCCCCTAAAGATAAAATAAAACCTCAAAAATCTCCACAAAGGATTGTGAAATGGTTGTATAAATAAGTGAAAGTGTCCTTTCATATTGGTACTAAAATGTAACATTTCACTTGGTGACTAACTTTTCACTTGGTGAACAAACATAATCTTTTTGCTTAATGAGCAAACATAACTTTTGAAGATTTTCTTTAATTGAAACTAAATTAATGTAATTTTTGGAAACTAAAACAAAAAAAAAAAATTATTTGTCACCAATTTTACACACTTAGCCCACCAACTTATCATTAGTGAATGCCCTAAGACCAATTGAATTGGCAATGGAATTCATGTCATATTAAGCATTACAGTTATTAACTAATTAAGCATTACAATTATTAACTGTCATTTTTTATCTAAAAGTTTGCACACATATATTTGATATTACTTATTATAAATAACATCCATGAAATAAATATACTTTGCAAGGGAAAAACAATGAGTTGTAATTATGATATCATCATTAAATCAATGCTTTATTCCTAAATTGTTCCTAGTCAATGCATCGTCAAGATAGGACACTGATAAAGCAGTTGAGACTAACACGGTCATGCTATTGCTTATAAAAGAACTGATCTCATAGGTTGAAGTTTGATGAACTTGAGCTAACATATGTGTGCTTATTACATGAACAAGTTCACAAAACATGACCTAATATGAGAATGTCATTTGGTAAATTATTTAGTGTCTTTGGCAACATTGTAATGTTGTAGTTGTATAAGGATCATTTGACTTGAGATTACTATCCATCTTATATGAAAAATGTTATACTTTGATTTTCCTTATGCTTCTAAACATGGATACCCCAATCGGGTATTTTTTGTTATAACATGAGACATATAAAGATACATAAATGATCAGTATAAAATTCATCACCTTGAGTAATTGAGAGAATATCTCAATTAGTCTTAACAAGGATTAACCAATGAAATCTCTACTGAAGTGGAATGAAGTTTTGGAATAGTTCTAAATCTCATTTGCAGAGTTAATTGCCTAAACTGAGATTTGACATGGTTAAACTAATTTCAAATTTAATTAAGAATTATAATGCTTATATTTATTGCCAACATGTTAACGAACCTAATGGGTCACACACAATAAAGCATGGCTTGTAAAAAATTAAAATTGGGTTAAATTAAGTTGCACTTAATTTATTGGGCTAAAATTAATTACAAGCCCAAATAAAAGAATTACTAAAGGCTCAAAGCCTATTGCAATAAGGCATGGTCGGCCACACCTCTTAATCTTATTTGGAATACGATTTGGCTAAACTCTTCCTCTATTTGAAGAAGTCTAGCTGCCCCCTCACTTGATGCTATTCAATGGTACAATCAATCTCATGCATTGAGAATGAATTGAGAGAAAACAAAATAGAGAAAGTGCATATCTTACTAGCACAGGATTCAGCCAGCTGCTTCCATTTGGTTTCCTAATTTGATTAGGATTTCCTTATTTGTTATGATATTAATGAATAAGTTCACCAAGATTTTGAAGAAAATCATCTTGTTAATCAAGGCTGAAAATTTTGAAAACTTTGTCTCCAAGAATGTGACTTTTGAAAGATTAAAATTGAGTTAAATTAAATTGGACTTAATTTATTGGGTTAAAATTAATTAGAGGCCCAAATAGAGAAATTACTAAAGGCCTAATGCCTATTGCAATATATTGGGTTTACAACAACCAAACATGATGTTTCTTCATGATTAGCACACACAGCTACCCAAGGTATAGAAATTCTGCTCATTGATTTTGTTGCATGATTGTATTGAGTTTTTATCAACAACATCCTAGGGTTTGAGAATTGAAAAATTTTAAATTTGCATTGCGTTTACAAGTCAATTTCACAAGCAATTCCCAACACTTATAACCAACAAACACCTTAAAGGACTTTTTCTTTCCAATATTGGACAGTCATCACCAAGGATCCAAATTATCTTCAATTCTCCACTAGTTTGGAATGTTCGTTAAACAAAAACATTTAAAAAGAAGTATTATGCGTACAAAAAGGTTTCTCATACTTAAACCTTCAACTAGCATATGTAACTTAAAATTCTAATAAAGTTGCTGGTCACTATAAATTAACCCACAGCTTGTACTAAACTTGAAGGTACAACAAATACGATACTCATTTAATTTCTCTTAGAGGTTTATAACAGATTTACAAGAGAGTAAGTCTCTTACTAAAACAACACTGTTTCTATGTTTATATAGGTGAAGTTTTCCTAATGTCACTATTGCTTTAGACATTTGATGTGAAACAACTTCATTAATAGCCTAAACATTCAAGCAATAGTCAATGGTAATCACTAATTGTTTGGAATGCATTAACTAGTGCTGACAGACATAATTCAACAACTTGTTATTACTCATTACCCTCTGCAAGTAGTTTTTACTCATTCAAAGTTGGGTTGTCATTACCAATGTCTACTGATAATAATGTTTCAACCCATTCCACTCGCAATTCTTAGCCAATATCTTGGTAATACTTGGGAAGAGGATGTGCAGAATCATAGCAACTATTACAAAAGGTATGATAATTTCCACATTTGAGAGTAATTCTCTAAAGAAATCATGTTTTAGGCTAATATGTCTATACTTACCATTATAAAACTATGTGCTTTAGAGTATGTAGCATCCTCATTGCAATGCAAGGAAATGGCTGGTTTTGCTTGTGGTCACAACTCAAAAACCATTAGAGAGCTTTCCAGCCAATTTAAATCCTAGTCTACAGCAGCAAAGTTATTAATTCAGATTTGACAGTTGAATGTAAGATGCAAGTTTGCTTCTTGGAAACTTAACCAATTGCACCACCTCTAAAAGTAAAAATCCAACCTGATGTGTAGGGCTGTAAATGAACAGAGTGGTCCACAAACAGTTTGTTAACATATTCAGTATCTATTCGGTCTATTCGCTTAATATTTGTTTATTTTCATGAACAAGCTCGATTATAAGATCACTTAAAAGATCGTTTAAAGCTCATTCATTGTTTGATATGATTTGTTTATTGTTCACGAACATGGTTTAATTGTTTGCAAACATGTTTGATTGTAAATTTGTTAACATGTATGTTTAATGTTCATAAACAAGTTTATTTAACTAAAATGAACCTAGCTTGAACCAAGCTCAATTATATCCCATTTAAACAATTTGAGCTTCATCACCACTTAAAAAATTCAACATGAACTGATAATGAACAGTCTTAAACATAGACGAACAATACAAACAAACCACATTCGTTCAAGCTCAACTTGTTTACAGCCTTCCAAATTTGCAAGTAATTCCACTTGTATACAAAATATCCTTCTAGTATAACAGATAACATGAATGAAATAGAACAAACCTTTTAGTCCTTTTAACATGTCCAAAAACTCTTCCAATGGGTTTCCAATGAGCAATTATAGGCTTACTAGTCTATCTTGGCACTTTACACACTTTAAAGTTATGTTCAAAATTAAGCTATCTCAAACAAATTTTTAGTATGCCATTGTGGAATTTTATTTATTTTGTTTCTAGATGCTTCAAGAAACCAACACTCCCACAATGTTTGAAGATCCATTCTTTTATTAAACAATATCTTTTAGTTCAATTATCAAGGACATCTTCTTCTTCCTTTTTTTGTTTGGAAGAAATCAAGGATATATTCTATGAAATTATCATAGTTCAATTTTCATTTTAACTTTTATCACCAAATAATAGTTTTCAACATCACATTGCATAGTGAAAAGTTAACTACCATACTTGCAACTACTTGATATTTTCTTTTCTCACCATAAAAGTTTCAAAAATTTTTATGTCAATTCAACATAAGAGCACATAGGAAACTTTTAATCATCTAAAAAGTAACTTGTTTCAAGAAACTATATCATGTTATACCCTCTATCTGAGACTCAAACCAATCAAGTAATGTGATGGATAAAGAAGATATAAATGCATACTTCAGCATAAAGATCATGAACCATATATTTCCACTATTTTGATCAAATCGTATCCACCATTTCTATTGGTCAAATATCATGATGCAATCCAAATATAAAAGCTCATGTTACCGCCCAAATTAAAAAATTATCTTTATGTAATCAAATGGGTAAAGTACAACTTTTCACAATCAAAACTTAGCTCCAGGTTATGCCCATCAAAAGCCATTCCGCATGTTACCCACATAATGCCACATCCCCATATAACAAAGCAAGCTATAGACACTATGTACCAGGAAATCATAACTAAGTTTCTTTTTATTAAACATTCATTTTATTGCTACCTATGACGATTAAAAGTCAATTTTTATGGAGTGGGCAACCTGATACTTTAATACCAATGCTCCAACATAAATCTAATTTTAATTATAGAAAATCAATTAAGTACATCCATAACCTGGACCATTCAAATGGCCAACACTTGACCTTGACTCAATATTGATGAACTTACATAAGTTTTTACACTTCTTTTTAAAATTAAATTAATTTTCACTTCCGAAAAAGAATTTTGTCCAACAACGTACAACTAACACTTGTGTCAGCTTGTTTATACACACTGCAAAGGACTGTTTCTATTCAATGCAGAACAAAGTCACCCACCAACAATCCAAATTATCAACACTAATAACCAGAGGAAAGCCTTATTTTTAAGACTATGTATATGTGAATGTCAACAAACATATAATAAATTTAAACAAAAAAAATGAAGAAAGGTGTAAAGGGGGTTACTTGGAACCATATTTTGAGATAGAAAGCAGTGCAGTAGTGACCAGCGGCATGGAGGAGACGAAGAGCAACGCTGCTATCAACGCCACCACTAAGGAGAACCGCCACTTTAAGGCGTTTATCGGGCATACAGCAAGAGAGAAAGCGAGGGTCGAGATTAAAACTATTGAAAGTTGCAGCATTGTTGAGTGAAGAAACAGGTTTAGGAGGAAGAGAAGAAGAAGAAGAAGAAGAAGATGTTAGGAGAGTTTGGGGAAGTGAAGCAGAGGAAATAAAACGTGGGTTTGGGATGTAGGAGTGAAGGAAATGAGAGGAAGGAAGCGAGAGCATTGGCGTTAGCCTGGGTCTGAGTCTCAACATTTTTGGACAAGTAGTTTGGGAGGGGCTGAAAAAGGGGATAAGAGAGGGGGGTTTCCTTTTTCAGATGACTAACGATGCTAAGCCGGCCCTTTAGGACTTTTGGGTTACGGAGTTGCAATACCAAACCACTGCTCAAGCCTAGCCCTAGTCGGTAAATCCAAAATAATGTATTTGTATAAATGTATAATTAGAAAATTTTTGGTTAAATGATTTATAATTAAATAATTAAATATGATTGCTTGAGAAATAAAAAAATTTATTTTTACATATTAAAACAATAAATCTTTTACTCGTAAATATTCATAAATACTTTATTATTATTATCATATTACTCATTAATTATTATTTTCATATAAATATCAAAATTAAGATAAATCAAATTAAATTGAATCTATTTAACATTAAATCAGTTTTATCTTTTAATCTTTTATTAATGATCAAGTCACTAAATCACAGACATATTTTTTTGTTAAATATGCCTTGCTTTTAATATTTATTTAATATGAAAATCATGTTTTAAACAATAAATTTTTTTATTGAGCCAGCCTGTTGAACTGGAATCAATTGTCCCATCGACTCAAGTTTCATTTCAATTTTTGAAACATTGTCCTTTTGAAATAGAAACATAAATTTATTTCTTAATAAAAATTGAAAATAAAGAAAAAAATATATATATTAAAAAAAAAACGCCTCTTACAAATATTATTCATTTCTCTTTGAAGTACTCTTCGAAAAAAAATAAATAAATACAAACACCGACTTGGGTCGTATTTAGTAAGTAAAAATGGGACAATGGGTTAGGGTAGCCGAACCCAACCACAGTTGATCCGATTGGAGGTTAAATTCGATCCATAATAAACCCTCCCGAAATCCCTAGCCCTATTAAACCTGAAAGTCTAAACCCCAAAACCCTTGCAGTTCATCTTCCTTCCTTCTTTACTCTCTGCACCGAAAGATCCAAGGTACGCCCTTTTTTACAACTTAAATTTTCATTAGCCTAATTTTTTAGAAAGGTTTTATAATTCATCAGAAACTTTTTTAACTCTTTTATGGTTTTAATTAATCATGTAATTTTTTATTTTCATTTTCGAGTCATAATTCATCTTAGTTTCAAGGTTTTGATTGTTTAAGCTTTTTACCTTTTGTTGCTAGGGTTATAAACTTTATTCTGGGTTTGAACCTAATCTATATTGGATTTGTCGAGTGATATAGAAAAATTTGTTGAAAATTTTATCTGTTTGTTAGTTGGATTTGAACTAATTCTTATTGGTTTTGCAGAGTGATATAGAAAATTTTGTTGAATAATTTAGCTGTTTGTTAGTTGGATTTGAACCTGATCCATTTTGGTTTTGCAGAGTGATATAAAAAATTGTTGAAAAATTTAGCTGTTTGTTGGTTGGATTTGAACCTAATCCTTATTGGTTTTTGCAGAGTGATATAGAAAAATGGTGCAATATAATTTTAAGAAGATAACTGTTGTACCCAACGGGAAGGATTTCATTGATATCATCCTGTCTCGCACCCAACGGCAAACACCAACTGTTGTCCACAAGGGCTATGCCATTTCCCGTCTCCGGCAATTTTATATGCGCAAAGTGAAGTACACACAGCAGAATTTTCATGAGAAGCTCTCAACGATTATTGATGAGTTCCCTCGTCTGGATGATATTCACCCTTTCTATGGGACCTTCTTCATGTGCTGTATAACAAGGACCACTACAAGCTTGCTCTTGGCCAAATAAATACTGCTAGGAACCTTATTAGTAAGATTGCTAAAGATTATGTGAAGCTGTTGAAGTATGGTGACTCGTTATATAGATGCAAGTCTTTGAAGATTGCTGCTTTAGGTCGCATGTGTACTGTAATAAAAAGGATTGGTCCAAGTTTGGCTTATCTAGAGCAGATCAGACAACACATGGCTAGGCTGCCTTCAATTGATCCAAATACTCGGACAATCTTGATTTGTGGGTATCCTAATGTTGGTAAAAGCTCATTTATGAACAAGATCACCAGGGCAGATGTGGATGTCCAACCTTATGCTTTCACCACAAAGTCACTCTTTGTGGGTCATACAGATTATAAGTACCTGAGGTACCAAGTGATTGATACACCGGGAATTTTGGACAGGCCATTTGAAGACCGTAACATTATTGAGATGTGCAGCATTACCGCTCTAGCCCACCTACGAGCTGCAGTATTGTTCTTCTTGGACATCTCAGGCTCCTGTGGCTACAGCATTGCCCAGCAGGTTGCTCTTTTTCACAGCATCAAGTCTCTTTTTATGAATAAACCTCTGATCATTGTCTGCAACAAGACTGATTTGCAGCCTCTTGATAGCTTATCTGAGGAAGACATGAAGCTGGTCATGGAAATGAAAGCTGAAGCCATGAAGACTGTGATGGGTCAAGGAGGTGAGCCTTCAAATGAAGAGGGGGTGCTATTGACAATGAGTACTTTGACCGAGGATGGAGTGATTGCTGTGAAGAATGCAGCTTGTGAGAGGTTACTGAATCAGAGGGTGGAATTGAAGATGAAATCCAAAAAGATAAATGACTGTCTCAATAGGTTTCATGTTGCTATCCCAAAGCCACGTGACCAGAAGGAGAGGCCACCTTGCATGCCTCAGTCAGTTTTGGAAGCTAAAGCTAGGCAAGCAGCAGAGCAAGAGAAGAGGAAGACAGAAAAGGATTTGGAGGATGAAAATGGTGGTGCTGGTGTTTACTCTGCTAATTTGAGGAAGAACTATATTTTGGCCAATGATGAATGGAAGGAAGATATACTACCTGAAATTCTTGATGGTCACAATGTGTATGACTTCATTGATCCTGATATCTTATTAAGGCTTGAAGAGTTGGAAAAAGAAGAGGGTCTTCGGCAAGGAGAAGAAGAAGATACTGGATTTGAAATGGATGGTAATGAATTGTCTCCCGAAGAGCAAGAAGCACTGGCTGCAATCCGGAAAAAGAAAAGTTTGCTTATTCAACAACATAGGATCAAAAAAAGCACTGCAGAGAGTCGACCCACTGTACCAAGAAAGTTTGACAAGGACAGACAGTTTACAACAGAGAGAATGGGAAGACAGCTATCAAATATGGGACTGGATCCCTCTTTGGCAATTAATCGGGCTCGCAGCAGGTCAAGGGGCAGGAAAAGGGAGAGGTCACTTGATAGGGGAGGTAATGATGGTGGTGAGGCTATGGATATGGATGTTGACCAACCAAATAAGATGCTACGTGTGAGGTCTAGGTCCCTGTCAATGTCAAGTTCAAGGTCACGATCACAGCCTCCAATTGAAGTTGCCCCAGGAGAGGGCTTCAAGGACTCCGCTCAAAAGGTTAAGGCACATAAACTGGCAAAGAAATCTGTTAGGAAGAGGAACAAAGATGCTCGTCGTGGAGAGGCTGATAGAGTTATTCCTACATTGAAACCAAAACATTTATTCACTGGGAAACGCTCCATTGGAAAAACTCAAAGGCGTTAGATAGGCTAAGGTGTTTTATGATAATTCTTTGTTTTTCTTGTACTTTTTCATTCATATGTCTGAAACATTGTCAAATTTGTTGAATTCTTTAGATGCTTATGGAAAAGCTTTGTTTGTGTTCTGATTTTGTTTTGTCGCATGCTCTACGTGCACTACCTAGTTTTGGAATGAAAATTTTGACCTTGAGCATTTTTGGTTCTTATTAAATCACCTCCTGAATAAATGGCTTAATATTGTATCAATAATTGTAGATTTTGTTTGAAGAGTGAGAAGTGCTTGATTATTCTTTGGAACACTCTAGGTACCAGGGTTCTACTTCTATCCCTTGCTCCTGCTAGTTCTAGGGGGCTTATTCCCATTTGCCGAGAGATAAATATTTGTGTCTAGTTTTGCACATGCATATATGTATTCAATGAGGATTCTGTTGTGCTTTCTTACTGTAAAAGTTTCGCGTTGTGCTCATAATTGTCTAACGCCAGTACATGTAACTTGTAAGGATATTAGTCCTTGTTTCTTTCAACAATATTCCAGGTCAAAAAGATTGGATAGAGTTACTTGAGTTGATTGTGGAAATATTTGAATAATCTACCTAATTTTACTGTAAGTAATGCTTGTACTTTGATTGAGATGATGAACAATACTGTTATATCTACCCTATTCCTCACTTTATGGTAACACAATGGTGGAGGGTAGATGAGAAGTGACATGAATACATGATGGGGGCATATGAAAATTGTTATTCAACAAAGAGGTATGGAGTAACCTATCTGAATGCATTGGACATTGGAGGATTCCAGCTGCAGCCTGCTGTCTTTTTCAGGCTTCAATATTAGCATATCATTGCATCATGAACTCTCCTAGCATTATTATTCCTTGTTATGTCAGCACTTGCGCAAGTGTTTGAATAAAAATCTCTATCATTACCTTTGATAATATGCTGTTCACTACTTCCTGCTTCATGAACTTGTTTGAGCCAAGCCTTTTCTAGAGTCATGTCTTGTCTTATGATTTACCATATTCCCAAAAAAAGGACAATTTGTATCCCTCTTCAACCTCAAACTGTGAGTTTAGAACATGGCTTAGATGGAAGGTTTCTCTCATTTTCTTTATGGCAAGGAAGAAAACTTAAAGGCCCCATTATTTATTTTCTTTTAATTAGCTCTGACCCTCCATTTTTTCCTCTGTTAAATATAATAATTACTGTTCTGACAGTAAATTTGTATATATACACACACAACATATATAGTATATACCCTCTACTACTGGCCACCAAGCATATTTCCATTTTATTTTCTCTCTTTTTTAAAAGAAATATTTGTAATATAAATAGGTTTTAAGTTTTAATTTTGAAATTTAAATATAAAATTTCTAAAATATAACGTTTGAATTATAAATTACGGAAAGTTGGAAAATCTTTATTTTTTAGATTTATAAGTGATTTAATTGTTAAAATAAAAAGAAAATACGTGTACAGTTAAATTAGAAATATAGTAAATAATGAAATTCAATTGATACGATTTGTTTTAACTAAATAATTAATTCAATGTTAGATCAATTATAGTTTTTATTTAATTTATAAATTCAAAATCTTAATTCAATATGATACAAATATATAAA